ATCTGGGACAGACTGGAGGAAAGCGCTTGGAATCGAGCAGTAAACTCTAGACAGCTCCCCTGGACAGCTGCAGTGCAGCCCTTCAATGACATGGCACAGCACTGGAGACGAAAAGTGGAGTCTAGTAAGTGGGGCATTAAAGCCCTAGGGAGCAATGCTATACAACCCTAGTAGATTCAGAGAGCTTTAGAATACTATTGTCTGCACTCCAACCCCAGAAATTGGCTAGGAAAGGACCCTGGCATTGTTTATCCAGAAGTGGATCAACTTTTAACACACAGCTCGAGACTCGCTCAATTCCTTAACCCCTAAAACATGATTCCCAATCATGTCCAGAAGTACATGGGATTTTATATGTTAGAGAATTTATAGTGATGATGCCTGTCTGATAAGTAAGCTCTTCTACTGTGTTTTGGTGACTGAGAATGTGAACTCCATCAAGAAAAAAATCAACACTGGTGATAAACATACATTTTGTGGTTTTAAAGATGCATGTTGTTGACTGTTGTTGAGCCTGTCCTGACTCATGATTCCACTGTGAGCAATGTTTTCAAAGCTGTGACCTTTTGGATACAGACTGCCAGACCTTTTTCCAAGTGCCTCTGGATGGGTTTGAACCACCATGCTTTTGAACTAATAGGTGAGCACTTAAATATTTGTGCTACCTAGTAACTCTCAAGGATGCTACCAGTCTTAAAGCAATGTGGTTCCCTAAATTTAACATTGTGATTCTATTTCAAAACTGTTAAAATTAACAAAGTTTTAGGAAGTAGAGTCTCAGATAAAATATTCCTATGAGAGGTGTCCTTGTGACACAATAGCTGAGTGCACAGATGCTAACCAAAATGGTGGTGGTTTGTGGTTCGAACCCACCAGCTGCTCTGCAGGAGAAAGACATGGCAGTCTGCTTCTGTGAAGATTTGCAGCCTTGGCAACCCGGGGGACAGTTCTACTCCCTCCTGTAAGAGAGTCACTTTGAGTTGGAATCGACCCCACAGCAGTGGGTTTTTTTGTTTTTGTTTTACGGAGAGTAACTGCGCCTTCCTTTACTGGCACTTTTGAAAACAATAAAACATCTGGCGTGTTTAATGAAAGAACACTTAGCAGGTCTCACCTCATTTCAGGTGTAGCTGTAAATAAAATGATGATTGCTAAACCGCTGTAGGATGTAGCTTTATTTTCCTCACATCTGGAAGCAAATACCCTTTACTAGTTCTGAGTCCTAGGATGCCTGTCCCGTCCCTAAGGTTCCGAAAGTGCCTAGTGTTTTTCCAGTCACCTTGTCCCTAATTCCATGTTCCCTGCTTTATGTATTGTGGTATTAAAATAAGTGGGGATCTGCTCTAATACCCTGGTCTCCTCATCAATCCACCTTCTCCCCAATCTAAGAGCTCTAGAAGACAACAAAATATACTCATTTCACCTTTGCCTGTTTACCCTACCAAAGGAACGCTTTAAAACTACTTACTAGCCATAAAGTTGATATAATGAAAAAGTAGATTAGCCCGGCAATCTGAAACTTAGTGATTACACTTGGAAATACTGCATTAATCTGTAATTTTAATATTTCTACTATCAAGACAATGGACTTTCTTGGTGGTTATATGCTGGGGAGTCAGTTCCAACTCATAGCGACCCTGTACAGGGTTTCCCAGGTTGTAAATCTTTATGAGATCAGAAAGCCTCATCTTTGTCCCGTGGAACAGCTGGTAGTTTCGAACTGCTGACCTTGCAGTTCACAGCCCGATTTGTAACCACTACGCTACCAGAGCTCCTTAATGGACTTTATTACAGCCTCAGAAACTCTATACAGGGAACCACTCCATGGCAAGCAAGCACCACCACCATCATTTTATACTTTAAATTCCAGTATTTTGAGTTTAGTAATGGACTTACTAAAGGAGCTCTGGTAGCGTAGTGGTTACGAATCGGGCTGCGAACCTTAAGGTCAGCGGTTCGAAACTACCAGCCGCTCCGCGGGAGAAAGACGAGGCTTTCTACTCCTGTAAGGATTTACACCCTCGGAAACCCTGTACAGGGTCGCTATGGGTCGGAACCGACTCGACGGCACTTAACAACAACAACAACAATGGACTTACTAAATTCAATACTGGAATTTAGTAATTTAGTTTAGTAATGGACTTACTAAACTCAAAATACTGGAATTTAGTAATTTAGTTTAATAATGGACTTACTAAACTCAAAATACTGGAATTTGGAGTATAAAATGATGGTGGTGGTGGTTGGTTGCCATTGAGCTACCCTGTGTAGGGTTTCTGAGGCTGTAAATCTTTATGGGAGCAGAAAGCCTCATCTTTCTCCTGTGGAGCAGCTGGTAGATTCAAACTGCTGACCTTGTGGTTAGCAGCCCAACACATAACCCACTAAGCCACCAGGACTCCAATAAAAAATATGTTGTGGTTGGGTGGGGAGAGTAAGAATTCTGGTGAATTGGGTGTAATATGGTTAGGGTTGTCATAGCATGATGACAGCCGCTCCTCAGAACCCAATACAGGGTGGCTATGTGTCTGTGTCGGCAGCATTTAACAAAAATGGGCTAGTTACAATGCCTCCTTCATCTGTTTGCCAAGAGCCAATGTAAAGAGCCCCTGCATCATAACAATAGGGTTTCCGAGGAGCAGCGGAGCGGCTGGTGGGTTTGAACCATTTTGTCAAAACACAAAAACAATGATCTGGCCCCTCACCAATTTGCTTGAAAATTCAGTATTTGTGTCAAATGATCTGTGGTTTCAGTAAATAGACCTAAGGGAGTTAAATGAGATTTGCTGGAAAAGGATCTGTTTGAGCCTTTTTTGATTGTTACAAAGGTATTTGATTTTATCTGAGTAGAAGCTTGCCCCCAGGATGCAGAAAAACTTCCATTCGGGTCCAATCAGAGCTTGAAGCTGCCGGACAATTTCAGGTAGCTCATATACAAATGGAGAAAGCATTCTCAGTTTGTCATTTTCATTGTTTGCCTGGCTAGGCAGACCTACCCAGGTTGTGAGCAGCCCCAGGGATGGCGAATTGCTTAACAACAGTGGCATCAGAAAGCCTGGTCATAATTCTGCCTCTGCTTAGTGTGTGACGTGAAGCACATTCCTCTCAGCTCCTCTCCTGACGTGTACAATATGGGTGACATGTGCTACCCTCTAGGGCTGTAGGGTAAGCATTGGACTCCAATAACCGCAAACCCACCAGGTCTCCTTGGAAACCCTATACAGCTCCGAACCAAACAGCCTCTCCAGAGGGAGGATGAGGCTGGCTGCTCTGTTTCCAGTCTTAGAAGCCCAGAAGGAGCAGTTCTACTCTGCCCCACAGGGTCACTGTGACTGGGAACTGTGAAGCGGAGGACTGGTGAGAATGGAGTGAATTCAGGTAAAACTCAGAACTGGGCCTAACAGCGTAAGCACCAGAAAATGTAGGTTGTAATTCTTATAAATCCACCAGCGTAAAACTTATCTACTGTATGAATGGCTTCACTGGCTGGTGCTGGAGGGTGACCACTGGACTACAAGGCCCGCGGTCAAACCTACCAGTCGCTCCTTGGAAACCCTATGCAGGGTCACTGAGTTGGAATTGACTTGATGGCACGTAGTAACAATATAAAAATCTATCTTGATCTCATCCAGAAAAAGCTCTTAAAATTTAAATTTCCATTTTGGTTATATTAGAGCACAGTGGTTCTGTAGGATAAGCACTGGGCTATGAACCACAAGGTTGGTGGTTCAAGCCCACCAGCCACTCAGTGGGAGCAAGATGAGGATTTAAACTCGTGCAGACACCTCAGAAACTGAATATAGGGTCTCTATAAGCCAGCTTTAACTTGAGGGCTTAACAACATAACATATTGGTACCAAAGAAATCCCTGGTGGTACAGTGGATTAAACATTAGGCTGCTAATTGGAAAGGTCAACAGTTTGAACTCACCACCTGCTCCAAGGGAGAAAGATGAGGCTTTCTGAAGTTAGCATTCCTGTGCTTATCCTACAGTGCCACATCAGGAGTCCAAAGATTTGGAGGTTCAGAAACCCTAAGTTGTAAGCATAGGGAAGTTGGAATCAACTCCACAGTCGTGGATGTGACATGGGGATTTAGTGCTGATACCAGAAGAGGTGGTGGCAATGCAAAGAAGTACCAGAATCACATTGCGCCTGAGTTTTCATATTAGCAAACAACTCAAGGCTGACCATGAGTCAGGAGAAAAACAAAAACCAAAAAGGGCAATGACTTGGTAAGCTTGAACTGATAACTGCAAGGTCGGCGGTTCCAGAGAAAGGTGAGGCTGTGCTCCCACAAAGTGTTACCGTCTAGGAAAGCCTACAGAGAGCTGAGTAGGAGTTCACTTGATGGCAATGGTTTGGATTTGGGGTTAGCAGCCCTGGCAGCCCAAGGTTAGAACTTTGCTGTTAGAAGGTTGGCTTCCCACATCCCCATCAGTTTCTCAAGAAAAAGACTTGGTAATCTACAATAAAGATCACAGGCTCCAAGTCCCTATGAGGTAGTGCTGCTCTGACATGTGAGGTCACCAAAAGTTACAATCAACCAGAAGGCATGTAGCAACCACCTAGCATCTGATAGGGACTAAATTAACTGGTATTTTCATCAGAAACCTTGTTCTGTGTATGTTATTTCTAGACTTCCAAACATGTAGTTTCTTAGTCTGTTTTCTTAAAAACAGATCACTAATGATGACTTACCTAGTTGGTGTCCTGACTGGACTGCTAACTACCAAGGTCAGTGGTTCAAACCCAACCACTGTTTCTTGGAAACCTTATTCAAGGTCACTATGAGGTGGAACCTACTCAATGGCACTTATTACTACCACCTAGCCGTTACCAAGAAGTACAAATTCTGCGATCAAGTTAGCCACCACTTAAGTAACTGACACAATTTCCTCATAAGCTGGCAGAAAGCAAACGTAAACAGCTGGCTCCCTTACAACAGGGTGTACTGGTGTCTTCATTTGAAGAATTTTAAAGCAAGCCAAGGAATTGTATAAAATTTAAATTTTATGACCATGTCTGGACCTTTTTACATTTAGCACAATGGAAATGTTCATATTCATTCATTCCTTTCCCCAAAGGAAAAATAGTGACTCATCGGTATGTTGTACAGTAGAATAAAAATATGAGTTCAGGTGCTTATTCAAGTATCTAAAGAATGCTAATAACAGACATGATATTACTTCCAAAACTGGATGCCATCAACATGATTTTGTAGTTACCTCAGGCTTTCCCTCAAATTCCCTACCATTCAGATGGAGATAACCCCCTAATCAGACTTTTTTTAAAAAGCCTTTGCCCCACAGAAACTTCCTGAGAACTGAAGGAACCGCAGTCTTGTGATCAGAATCCAGATGGTACAGGCAGTTTTATAATCAGTAAGGAAGAAACGCTGATTTTATGTGTCAATCAATTGCAGTCTGCTGATCTGGTTAGAAGCCTTGACAAATGCCTGGTGGCGATTGCAAACAACTGCCAAGCATATCGGAATGATACAGTAGCCCACTGTTTTGGGGTCAGCTCTTGTACAAGAATAAAGGAACAGAAACATCTGTAAGTAAGGTATCAGAAAGATAATCGTCCACAACCAGAACGGCAGGGAGAGTAACTGCACTTTCAATGAGTGTGCCCACGTGGTCCCTTCCAGTGGCTCCTCAGGGCGCTGCTGAATGTGTTCCAAGGCCAGCCTGTTGTAAGTCTCATTGATTTCAAAAACATAGTAAAATGCTGCTGCACTTGCTAACAGATACAATCCCACTCCAATCCATCCCATCCGCTGACGGAAGTTCATCATTCTCCATGCTCTGGGCCTTCAAATTAAAAAACAAAATCCAGTTAGCGGCTAGTAAAGCTGTCCTGGCAACTATTCCAAATTTACAAGCTATTTCCAACAAGGTTCCCACCCCCCACCCTCAATGAGTTTTAAAATACAAGGCTAACTTAAGGTTTAAAGTAAATTAAACTTACATTTATTAAGAAATGCCAACAATTTACAGGTTATTTTATGGAATAGTCATGAGCAAGTAAAAGCCACTGGTTTCTGTTTAGATCGAGTTCTGCTTTTGATATGAATCCCACTAGCTACTCCATTCCGTGTAAGCAGGTCCAGGAAAGGGCCTTAAGAAGCTAGAGTTAAACTTCCTACGGAATATTTCACTCCTACAATTCGAATACTTTCTGGCTTTAGAAATGAAAACTTGGGTTTTATAAGGCAAACTAAGGCCGGAGCCCCCGAGTTAAAACAGTCACTCTTAAACACTTACAGTGGTCCTGAAAATCTTCCTGTTCCCACGGCAAGCGTTAAAGAGTCACTCAGTTCTGAATAATCAGGTGGCTTTGGCATTTCAGGGGAAGCCACCATAGAAACTATCCCCTGGGTCACCCGGCTCGGGAAAAGGTGAGGGCGGCCAGCCTGGAACCCGGCTAATTGTGAATAAGTGCAGCGTGACTGGGGCGGGTCCCGCGGCGGCCCGCCCCCTGTCGCCGCAGACGGTCCGCCCGGTAGGCGCCGGTGCCACTAGGGCCTCCCCGGCAGCCTGCCCCGCCCCCGGCCGCGTTGCAACGCCCGCCGGCTGCGACCAGGACTGCACAGGCGGCGCCAGGCCGGGGTGTCACCGTCCCACAGCGCCGGGAGCGCCGCGCCGAGCAGAGGCCACCAGCACAGCCAGCAAAGCTGGGCAGGTCCAGAATCTCACCTTCCTGTCCCGGGTGGCCCGCCCCGACGCCGCCGCAGTCGGGGCTTCCGGCTCTACCCGGAAGTGCGCGCGCCTCAGCCCGGAAGGCCCGCCCGTCCCTGACGTCAGGGTGCCTCTGCTCTGTTTTTGTGTGTGTGTCGCAAGCGCAACGTTTCTGGTTCGGATGCGGTCGTGTGGGCTGCGGGCTTGTGGGTGGCAAACACTCAGGCGGCTGGGCGTCTGGATTGGGCTGGCCTCACCCGCGACTCTGGTCGCCCATCACTCCTCGCAGCGGAGAGCACCGCGGAGACTGGCGGTCTTGCGTCATTCGTCGTGGGCTGGTGCGGCACATAGGAGTCTCTTGTTCCTGGCTCCATCCAAGCCGAGTCCTCAGACCCGGACGCGTCGGGAGCCGGCCCTAGGCTCTTGAGCTCCGGCGGCGGACCCTAGATAACGGTGAGGGCTCCGCGGGCCCCGGCGTCCGCTGGGGGCGCCCGGCCGGCGTGGTCTCGTAGCTGTGCCGCAGCGCGCGGGGCCCGCAGGCTGCTCGGCGTCGCCTGGAGGAGGATCCGCGGGCCTTCTCGGGCCCGGCGGTGCGGCCGCGGACGTCCATCCCTTCGACTAACCCGATGCTTTTTCCTCACAGGCTGCTGGAGCTCGGGACGTAACCGGGGGACCGCGGAGGGTTACTGTCCGTCGCGGTGGGCACCTGCGCCCTACCCACCGCATCCCAGTCTCGGCCTCGTAGGGGCGCTATGACGCTGAGACTATTGGAAGACTGGTGCCGGGGGATGGACATGAACCCTCGGAAAGCGCTGCTGATCGCGGGCATCCCCCTGAGCTGTACCGAGGCCGACATTCAGGAAGCTCTGCAGGCGGGCCTGGCCTCCCTGGGTCAGCACCGACTGCTAGGGAGGATGTTCAGGAGGGAAGAGAACAGGGTCGTAGCTCTAATAGGACTCACTGAGGAGACTAGTCTCGCTGTGGTCCCTAGGGAGATAGCGGGGAAAGGGGGCGCCTGGAGAGTCATCTTTAAGCCCCCAGACCCAGATAATGAATTTTTAAACAGATTGAATGAATTCTTAGAGGGCGAAGGCCTGACTGTGGCTGAGTTTACCAGTGCTCTCGGTTATGGGAACGACTCTTTTGAAGTAGGTCAGAACTTGGTCCCTCAGGTGGGGGCCCCAATGTTGGCAGAGGCATTAGACGAGGCTCTTCAGCCAGCCCTGCAATACCTGAAATACAGAAAGCTGAAAGTGTTCTCCGGCAGCGAGCCTCCGGAGCCCGGAGAAGAAGGGTTTGATGCCTGGTTGTTTCATACCACTCAAATGATGAAGGCCTGGCAGGTGTCCGATGCAGAGAAACGAAGGCGATTGCTGGAGTGCCTCCGAGGCCCTGCGTTTGATGTCATTCGTGTCCTCAAGATAAACAATCCTTTAATTACAGTCCCCGAATGCCTACAGGCACTGGAGCACGTCTTTGGGGTCATCGATAATCCTAGGGAGTTGCAGGTCAAATTTCTAACCACCTATCAGAAGGCCGAAGAAAAGCTATCTGCTTATGTGCTGCGGCTGGAGCCTTTATTACAGAAACTGGTAGAGAGGGGCGCAGTGGAGAAAGAAGTGGTGAACCAGGCCCGCCTAGACCAAATCCTGGCTGGGGCCGATGACAGAACACTTCGAAGGAAGCTCGATCTGCCTGAGGACGGCCCAGCACCAGGCTTACTGCAGTTACTGACACTGCTGAAGGAAGAAGAGGCAGCAGAGGAGGAGGAGGAGGCGCTTCTCCAGGCAGGATTAGAGGGAAACTTCACCTAACTCAGGAGTCCAGGATCCAGGAGGGGGTGTCAGACAGCGAGCAGAGCATGGAGGGCCAACACTCCCTGTGTTCTAGAAATAGATCAGAACTGGCCCATACCTGTGCTGCCCACTACACGCTTGTCAATTCTGTGCCTGTTTGCTGATGATGCTGTTAGGTGCTATTGAGTTGCTTCCAAGTCATAGCAACAGAACGGAACACTGCCCTGCCCTGCACCATCACACTCACTGCTATGCTTGAACCCATTGTTGGAGCCCCCATATCTGCATCTCCTTGAGGGTCTCCCGCTTCCTCACTGAGCTCTCCACCAAGCATGATGCCCTCCAGGGGCTGGCCCCTCCTGATAGCATGTCCAAAGTCTATTTAATGTCTCCTAAATGTGTTTATTGACTCTGAACAATGGAGTTTTATGTGGGTATTTATGAGGAGTTTTATGTGGGTATTTATGAGGTCCCGTCTGTGAATGTATTGTACACAATTGTACCAAAAGGGTGTGTCACTTGGTTGCAGGTACAGCTCAGGCACACAGCTGACCACATCTCAGAGAGATCAGTGAGTAGTGACGGAAGCAAACGGAGCATGTCAGCATATGATGTTCTGTGCTGTGGAGTCGGTTCTGACTCATGGTGACTCTGTACAGGGCTTCCAAGGAGCAGCTGGTGGGTTTGAAGTTCAGTGCTGATCCTTTAGTGCCACACCAGGGGATGGATGATGTATGATAGGTATACATTTTTAGGTGTGTGTTGTCTCATATTTATGATGAAAGTTGTCAGTAGTGATTAAAATGTTAAAATAGTTCCTGTGTGAAACAATATTATTGATCCAGTGCCATCAAAACAAAAGGTAGAATTGCATGCTGAGGTTGAAAAGTTTGCAAATGCCAACTCTAACCCCAGGTTTCTGGTGTACATTAAAATCTGTAAGTGTCCTGAATAATGTATTAATAGGTGTTATAAATGTGAGTTTATAAAATAAAGAATGCTAACGAAATGGCTTCTTCTATCTGTTCTACTTTTATCGGTTTCAAGAGAGATGTCTTTAAACAAATGGCCCCAATAGTTCAAACCTGAAAACTACCCAGGTTACACAAACTTAGTTCTTTGGACATTGAGTCCACTTGGAACTCGTATAGGGTTTCCGAGGAGCAGCTGGTGAGTTTGGACCACCGACCATATAGTTCAACTCTACTGTATAGTCCATTGCTTATCCTATAGCACCATAGCAGAACCCCTAGACACTGGTTAAGTGCCATGGAGTCGGTTCTAACTCATAGCAACCCTGTATCGGGTTTCCAGGGAGACGCTGGTGGGTTTGAACTGCTGACCTTGTGGTTCAAGGTCCAGTGCTGATCCTACAGCGCCACCCCAGGACCTGTAGACACTATTAGTAGTGGGGACTATGAGAACTTACAAGACCTAGGGGCCGCTGGGTAGGAAGGGCATGGGTGAGAGATTTTGTCCCTAAAAAAAAATATCACAGGATGAAAAACTTTGAAAATTGCTGAAAAGTAAGAGAAAGTATCATTAAAATATCCAATAGTGCCAAGTCAGGGATATATATTCCTGATGCAGTGCTACAGAATATCACTGGACTGCTAACCGCAAAGTCAGAGGATGATACCCACCAACTGCTCCTCGGAAACCTATACAAGACTGCTTTGAGTGGGAACCAACTCACCTGTCCTTATCAACCCCACCACCTCCTCGGGTTTGGAATTCAAAGACATAGAAGTTCTCCCACTGGAAAACCAGATGACATGGACTCTGAATGAAACAGGTATCATTTGGATCTTGTTTGTAACTTACAAAGCAGTCAAGGAAAGTGACATTAGCCACGTTGTGAGTCTGTGTATGTGCACATGTTAAAGTACTGTTAAGTTGATTCCAACCCATAGCGACCAAGAATAGGGTTTCCGACCTTTCCATTCAAACTGACTTTGCAGTCCTGCACATTAACCCACAGCGCCACACCAGGACCTCAGGCTGCACCTTTTCTGCAGGCAAAGCCCAGAGCTAGGAACTTTGAGCTGGATAATTAAGTTTAAATTCTTAACACTGTGCTGAAGGTCTTTTCAGTGTCAGTAATAGCTGACACTGAACACTTGCTTGCTTTAGACCAGACACAGAGCACCATTGTACTCATTTGATCCTCCAGTATTGCATTGTTGCCAGTCCACAGACTAAGAAATGGGATTAGAGGAGTTAAGTAACTTTCCCAGCTGGCTGGCCAGGATTTATACTCGGACCTCTATTTCCAGAATCCTTGCTCTTAATCTCGTCTATACTGCCTTGTTTAATCTTCACAGATAAACAAACTGAGGCTCAGAGAGATTCCAGGGCAAGAACACACATTCTGTTGTGCCATCAAGTTGCCTCTGACTTGCACCCCATGCACAACACTGCCCGGTCCTGTGCCATCCTCAAATATGTTACGTTTGAGCCTTTTTTTTTTTTTTCTTAGATGTTATTTATTTATTTAAAAGTTTTTATTGTGGATTGAGTGAAAGTTTACAGGGCACATCATGTTTCACATTCAACCTTTCATATGACTTGTTTCATTACATTGATTATAATCCCCTCCATACATCATCAGTTAACAGTGTTTCTCTCTATCCTCTTTAGCTTTTTTTGGGGGGGGAACTTTGCCTTTTTGGAATTTACAGTCTCAGTTTTTATGGAAGGTTTTTACATTTATCTGTGGATATCCAGGGCTCATGTATGCGATTACTAACAAGCATAACTGAATAATCAGATGAGGGACAGTTTGCTATGTCTGCTAGGTGGCTAAAGTCTGATCCTCAGAGCCTATGGTTTGGACGGTCTGCAACGCTTGGGCCCACAGGGACTTGAACTCCTGACTGGGTCTGCACGGTCTGCATTTGAGCCTGTTTTTGCAACCACTGTATCAATTCATTTGATTAGGAGCCTTCCTCTTTTATGTGGATCTTCTACTAATGATGTCCTTTTCCAGTGACTGATCCCCCTGACAACATGTCCAGCGTATGAGACAAACCCGAGCCATTCATGCTAGTAAGGGGCATTCTAGTTCTTCTTCCAAGACAGATTTGTTTGTTCTGGAAGAATATGGTATTCTCCATATTCTTCACCAACCCCATAATTCACATGTATCAATTCCTCTCCAGTTTTCCTTCTTCAAGCTTTCATGTTGAAAATACCATGGCTTGGGTCAGGTGCACCCTATTACTCAAACTGACATCTTTGCTCTTAAACACTTTAAAGAGGTCTTGTGCAGCGGATTTGCCAAATGTAATATGTCATTTGATTTCTTGACTGCTGCTTCCATAAATGTTGATTGTGAATCCAAGCAAACTGAAGTCTTTGAAAACTTCAATCCATTCTCCATTTATCAGAATATTTATTGCTCTAGTTGTGAAGATTTTCATCTTCTTTACTTTGAGGTGCAACCCATACTGAAAGCTTTGGGTCTTTGATCTTCATCAGCAAGTGCCTCAAGCCCTCTTCACTTTCAACAAGGCTGTGTCATCTGCATATCGCAGGTTCTTAATAAACCTTCCTCCAATCCTAATGCCACGTGTTATTCAGATATTACAGTTGCTTGGATTATTTGTTCAGCATACAGGAACTCGTCTAAAAGAATTCCCAATGGCCAACAGTGCAGCAATGTGAGCAACAAAATCAGTGATGATATTGGGTTACATCCAAAGTATAAAATATATATCCATGATCTCAGTTGATACTGATATAAATGACTGAATAGGTGAAGATGGAAGAGGCTAATCTTCCTTACGGAGTCCTGGTATGGTGCTGTGAATTAGTGCACTGGGCTGCAAAGCCATTTGAACTGCAAGGTCAGCAGTTCAAGCTCACCAGCTGCTCCTCAGAAACCCTATACAGGGTCGCATGGGTCGGAACCAACTCAATGGCACTTAACAACAACAGTTTCTTACAGAGAAAACAACCAAACTCAGGACTCATCCCAACATTATAGAGGTTTCCGAGACTGTAAATCTTTACGGGAGCAGCCAGCCTCATCATTCTCCCATAGACTGGTTGGTGGGTTTGAACCAGTGACCTTGCAGTCAGTAGCTCAACACCTAATGCACAGCGAGAAGGATTCTAAAAGTTCAAGTAGATCACTGCCCCCTTTTAGGAGGTCAAGCTTAACCCCTTCCCCCACTTAAATGTAGCCTGAAAAAACAGTATGGAAAATGTCTAGAAATGTCTCTGTTGGAAACCATGGCATGTATTAGCTTGGCCAGTTGATTGGGATTAGCATCAGGATTAATAGCTTGTACCGCTGAGATGGGATGAGGTAGGCATTTTTCCTCTGGGCCATAGTTCCCCCAAACCCATAACCTTCATCCAATTATGACAGAAAACGCACCTGGAGCAGTATACTCACCCGGAGAAGCACAGCTCAAAGCTGTGAAGATCATGAAAAACAAGGGAAGACAGAGGAACTGTCACAAACCTCTAAATACAATGTGGTTTCCTAGGTGGGATCTTGGAACAGATAAAGGATATTCCTGGAAAAATGAAAACCGAATAAAGTCTGGAGTTTAGTTAACTGTAATACATCAATTTCTTGTAGATGATACCATTAGAGGAAACGGAGTATGGAGTATACACGAACTCTCTGTAGTGGTTTTACGCCCTTTCAGTAAATCTTACACCATTCTAAAGTTAAAAGATCACTGAAATAAATACGCAAATAACAAACAGCCTGGAACGCTCTCCAGTAAAATCAATCTTTCATTAGGGAGAAAACTGCTAGCGTGCCCTTTCCAGCCGTGGTTATTCGCATAAGCACCACTAGGGGACGGTGAGCACTCACTATGTTCCAGTCAGGCCAAAGCAGGGAAACGGATTGTTTCTTACGTAAGTGGCATCACACTGGCCCTTTTACAGACTGGAAAATTTCTCAAGCTTTTATGTGGGAACACAGCTAAATAAATCTGGGACAGCGACTTCCTCTGTAGGTTCACAACACTGCTAGACTCTTACAATCGGCAAGTCAG